TAAGAGTAGAATTGGAGAAAGCAATATCATTGCTTCTATATCTTATAGCGGCACTTATTAAAGTCCATGAGTCCACTGTAGAAACTGGGTGATGGTCAGTAAGCAATAGCAATATTGCTATCACGAATAAATACAGCAGTTGTTGGAGAATAAGCTCTTTTCGCAATCGCTGCATAGACAACCATTGGAACTAGGACTCCAAAATGGAGGCAGAAAAATTTTACTTTATTTACGGTATCACGATGAATATACTTAAAATTCTATGAATATACTTAGCACCAACTGGTCTATATCAAATACCCATGTGTATATCAATGGCTATTCAAACCACTGGCATTAAGCTTCAACCATTTAGCAGCTGTTGTGAGTGAAAATTAGCAATCAGATCCTTTAAAGGTCACACTGTAACAAGAAAGTGCATGCTACTATTGACTGAGTTTGCTGGTTTGGATTAGATGCAAACTTCTAGTATCACAAACAGTTTGATCTAAAATATCAGCGTAAAACTTTGGTTTAGTTGATTTCACTGATGAATTGTGTAATTACTGATTAAGTATTAAAGAAAATAGTCCTCCATTATGCTACATAATATAATGCTTCTAATGAAAGCAAAATTAACTATTACAAATACTTGAAGTGCTCAAAACAAGGAAGAATCAATGATGAATAGCATCTAAATATTGGTCATGAATAATGTGTAGCGGGTGTTCCCCTACCTGTTAAAATTGAATTAATATGCCTTCAGCATTATGAATGCTATTATAGTAACTTGATGAATTAAGACCAGTTCAATCTAAAACCAATGAGCTCTACCCTTGGTAGGTGGTAAGGTTTCATGTGGTTGAGGTGATTTCCTTACATTGATAATTCAGTTGTTCACACTTTATCATTATTGATATTACTAGACATTAAAGGGGCAAGCAAAAGCAAGCCATAAATTGTGTGCTGTATGATCTATGAGCAAGCAAAGCATTTTTGCATGTCTAGGACCGTTATGTACAGCCATAGATCTTAAGTTGCTCATTACTTCATCACTAAAGAATCTTTTGCAGCTATTAAAGTTATCTTACTGATAGCATTGGCAATAGTTAGAAGCATCCACTGAACAAATCATTGTTGTGAGATGTGCTTTGTTATTGCTAGAGAAGTGCACAGCAGAAACTGACTTATACGTCACGTGCAGCTAGTCAAGTTGCATTCATCTTTATGATCTCTCTCATCACTGTCATCAGAGCAGTGACGTAGCTGAGGTAGGGCCTGAGGGGGCCTGGGCCCTACCATCAAAGTGGCCTTATAATTATATTCATTGCAATTATAAACCAAAAGATTATATTTATTGTTCTTATTATAACAAAAGGGGGTGGCTGATAACCACAGCTCTTTTTATAGCTATATACAATGATAGGTAATTTCACTCCTCTTGAAGGAAAACGCCTCCATTTTGTTACATAAAAGGGGTGTGACCAAAATCACGGTGCGCTTCACATGCCATTTTATTTTCTTGTTCTACCGTCACCCAAGGTCTAGCTATGCCCCTGCATCAGAGTCCTTTATGTCAAAAAAGAAGATGGTATATCTGGTTTTCTAACTTCCCTTGCTTCAAGAGAAGTCTTTGGACATTAGTTTAGTTTTGATTTGCTGACCGTTTGCAGCGGTTTGCTGCAAAGAAGCTCAGACTTGCTGATATCCACCATTTTATTTTATTGTGACCACACCCGCTTTCAATGAAGATATGTTGAGGCTATTTAACTTTAATAATAGTTAGTTCTGGTCAGATTTTTCTCACCTCAGTGGGGCTCGCTTTTGCTCGTCCCAATGATTAGTTATAATTTAAATGCTTTTTTGCTTTGTAGGTTCTTGTGTTAGTGCTGGTTTCAGTGGGTGTTGTAGCTATGCTACTAGCACATCATGTCGTGGTCACACACCCTCAGGGAATCTTGCAACGTGTTACTGTGATGCTTATTGCTATACTTTTGGTGACTGTTGTTCTGATGTCAATGCTACTGGTTGCTACT